CAATTTGATGTGACTACCAGGAAATCAGGAATGCATGGTTAGCCCTTAGATGTTAGGAAAATGGGCTTTACATTTGAGTAAAACAATGTTTGGTAGAAAGCAATGCAAACAGGTTTCATATTCTGAAGAAAACTACACAACTCACCAGGACGTGACTAGACAGACGTTGTATTTCTACATCGTGACAAAGGACATATTTAAGACATGCCCCATCCTCATCATATTTCAAAGTTGAGGTTGGTACTGAAAACAAAATTTAAGGCTCAAGCCCCAAGACATCTTGCAAATCTTGCTTGTAAAAATTCACATCTGTGTGGACCCAACTGTCAGTAATATAACCCTCATTCTTTTCCCCCAATCCTCCCACAAAGAAAGTATCTGCAACACAAAATAGCATCTTGCAGGTTGGCTGCATGTGCTTGCATGCACACTTTGGCATCTAAAGAGAATGCAATTCTTCCTCATGCAGTCTACGTTTATTCATCCAGAGGTTGCTCAATTTTTAAAACTAGTCAGATTGCTCAGGGTTTTTGCTGAAAAAAATACTCTTAAACTGGCTATCGTTTGATTCAATTATTTATCATTACTCTGGTTCAGGAAGGTGCCACCCATAAAAGCAAGAAAAGATGTGTAAAGGAAAAAAAAACCTAACTTGGAGTGAATTTGAGGTCAACTGCCATGTTTGATGCTGTCCACCTGAATCTTAGCCTATTTAATTTGAAAAATACAGATGTGTGAGAAACGAAGAATTTTATGGGTAGCTCTCCACCTGCAGTGTCCAAACAATTTTCTTTCTCAGACATCCTTGTCAATGTTGTAATGGTTGAAAGTGAAATCAAACCACAAACAATTTTCCTGTCATTTAAAAATCATAGCTTAAAGTTTTGCTGTGCATAAATTATTTCATATATAATTTGCAGTCTTAAATTTACCCACTAGTTTTAATAAAAAAAGATGCAACGCTTTGCATAGCCTTCAAAACGTCAGAATCTGCTTTTGAAAGGTGAAAAACAACTTCCTAACCCATTCTGGACAAACTTAAGAGGGGGGGGGAACAGCATTTCAACTGAAATGCAAAACAGGACTGAAATAAACAAACCAAACACCTCGCATTTTTCTCTTTGCAATACTTTAAAAGATCCCAGTCCTCTCAAGGATACCTGCTAATAAAAATGATAATGCAAATTACATTTTTCCCACATTAAGACTGCACTTTTTTGCTTCTTAATAAAGCTTCCCTCCAAGAAAAAAAAACAGAAATACTGTAGCAAGCATTTTCATGGAGGAAAAATCACTACTGGTGTTTTCACAGCTCTCGGGCTGCATATATTTCTTTATCCCTTTGGGATCATCCTCAGTGCATCACTAAGTCTTGCTTTTCCAGTTTCGGATTGGTTAAATTTCCCTAAACACACACCAATATAAAACATGCCTTTTGAAAGCAGCTGCTTCAGGGCAACGTTTACAATTAACTAGATCAGGAACAAAGAAATGGTGGGGAAGAATTAAAAGGAAGGAAAGCATCCCATTCTAAAGAGAGCATCAGCAGAAGACTTCACTTACCTTTTCTCATATATACATACATATAAAGCCTGCAAAAATATTGCCTTCCTCCCAACACAGCAGCAGCCACATGCCGAGTTCCAACTAGAACACCGAGCGGCCAATCAGAAGAAGCTGTCATGGAGGACGGCATGCTGGGAATCGTAGTCCAAAACTCCAGAATAGACCGTTTGGGAATAAATCGTATTTATAGACCCACCATTTTTGTGTTTTTGGAAAGCGAGTTCTTCGGGCTGGATTAGCAGGTCGGAGTTACAATTCCGAAACATACCTCCTCGGGTGTAAACTCCACTGAAATCACAGCAGGATTTTGCAAATAAGGACGGGGTGTTAAAAAAAAAATCAACAAATCGGTCCATCCTTCACTTGCGATGCAGTCATATTTTAGAAGCACACACATTTATAAAGCCACGAAGTAAACGCTTGCACAAGGGAGGGAAAAAAATTAAGGCAAAGGATGGCGTGGGCGCGACAGTGAGAACTTAAATTATTTTTTCCCTAACTTAACACTTTCGTCTTTTAGGACTGTCTTGTAAAGGAAAAGATGGTTGTAATCCAGAAAGGAGTGTGATTCGCAATTAATTGAGAGGCAGTACATGCACCAAATTTCCTTCCAGTATACCCAGTATACTTCTAATAGTACTAATAATATTGAAAAGAGATCAGTCTAGTTTATAACTGGGAATGGACGGAAGTGCTGAGAATATAACATGAATTTGGTTGAATATATGTTAAAAAAAAACGGAGCAAAGAAGTCAAAATGCATTAAGAAGCCAAGAAATCGTTCCATTGAGGAACAGGCGTAATGACAAACTCACCCAACGTAAATGTTTTTTCTCTCTCTCTCTAGTTACACCATCAGCTAAATAAAGTTGGAATAATTTTTCTTATCTGGGTTCATAGATTCCAGAGTGGTTAGAGTTGACTAATGTAAACAGAGCTTTCTTCAGAAAGGAAATTGAGAATTTCCCCTCTTCCTTAAACCAGGAGGACGCTATCCCCCTGGAGTAATGCTGCTGTCCCAGAGCTGCTCTGCTGGAGTAGCCCAAAAGGGGTGCCATAAATCCTGATGGAACCAAACCTTGTTTCTATGAGCATCCTCTTTCCACCAATGAGCAGTCAGTTGTCCCTGCAAAATTTACAAATAGGACATTGCAACAACAGGCCTTGTTCCTAAGAGCTGCATTTGTACACTGTATTTTATCTTAGCATTTTTGCAAAATGGTAATGTCTGCCTTGAGTCAAACCTGATACCTGATTAAATCCAGAGTCAAGTGCTTGATGTAACAACGTTGTATTGTTTTCTTAGCAAGAGTAAGAGCGGTTTACTTTCCGTACAGTATTGTCTCTTTTAAGATTACTTTCCACTTCTCAGACTAGCTAGCAGTGGTAAGTAGGTTACAGCAGCACAGCAAACCAACCTCATCTGAGTTGAAAAAAAATCTAGTCGACAACTAGCCTGGTTGGAATTTAGATGCGATCTAGGAAATAAATGGGTTGTATAGTAGATCTGGAAATTGTAGAAAGGCAGTGGAAAGTAACAAGAAATAATATGGATGTCTCAATTTAGTCGCAAGAATCAGTAGGGAAGGGGTTGACTTTATGAAAAGCCAGATCATGATTTAGTTTTGTGATTCGGTGTTTTGCAAATCTAGAAAATGTTAAATGATGGATAAACATTCCGATGTGCTGTTTACACAGCAGACATGCAGTCTATATTCATTGAACTGCTTGCATATTTTGTGCATGCTTGTTGGTTATCACATTCCATGGCATTGCACATCAAAATTAGAAAAAAACAATTAAAATAAAATACATAATAAAAACATACCTTTCTTGGCAATAGAGGTAGTAAAAAAGTCTATAAATGTTACTTAAAGATTGGGTTCAGATATTTCCATACTGTACTTCATAATGTATGAATTGCAGCCCTGATAATTTATAAGCAACCACTGTCACTGAGTCCATCAACTTTGCTGCTAATCATACTTTTCTCTTCCACTTTTCCCAGCATTAAAGCTTTCTCTAAACAGTTAGGTCTTTGCATAATATTCAGTAAATGCTGATTAAATAATCTTGGTTTAGCATGGTTTGCAACAACTGCAGATTGAGGCAACATAAGCCTTTAAAAAGCTGAGTCAAATTGGGAAATTTTTAACTGCTCTGGAAAATAATTGTACTATCCAAGTGACTGCGGAAAAGCCCTTATCTTTAGCAGAGCTAGGAAAAGCACCAGTCTGATACTTTCCAGCTATGTGGTAATTAAAGCCCTGGTTAAGCAGATTTTACCACCATGGGTGCTCCATCAAACTTCATGTCCTCCATTTCTTTTAAACTCTGTTTCTAACTTTCCACTTCCGTAAGAAAATCCAGCTTTCTTTTTGATAGTGCTTGATAAAATGTTCTGTGGTTTTGCTGAATGATCTTTACCCAAGGCTTTTCTTTAGACTTTCCATGCTTATTGGACCATCTTCATGCATGTTGACATTCAAACAGGAGGATAATGCAGAAGAATCCCACCCATAATTAAAATATCAAGGGGAAATGAGTTAATGCCTTACAGTTACACATCTACCTTCTTGAGACCAATAGGGCAGGCTACGTGGGCTACTGCTTTTCACAAGTGGAATTCTTAAGCTTTTACAAAGCTAAACATGCTTGCTTTAAGTTTGGTTGCTTGGTGTTCTATGGCATGGAACATTGTGCTTACCCAACCATTGTGTTTTATAAACCATATATTGTTTTTAATACTGTAGAAACTCAATTATGCTTTACTTTTTAAACTGTAACAAAATATGTAGGGACTTAGGCACATTGTGTGAACTCATTTCATTGTGATATGTTTGCCTCCTTGAGTTGTATGGGGAAAAAGGCAGGATAAAAAATCTTTTTAAAAAAGAAAAAAACAGGACTCCTACGGTCTTTTCCTGCAGTCATTCTGCTTTCTTATTTGTTCCTATTTTCCCCCCTATTCCTCCTCCATGTCCATTTCTGAAATGGAATCCAGCAGTGATGGGTTTCAAAAATTGTTCGAACCTACTCTGTGGCCTCCTTTGTGGGAGTGGCTTGCTGCCCATGTGACCGGATGGGAGTGGCTTGCCNTCAAAATAATTCTAGTTTACCACCAAATTCTTGTCTAACCTAATATATACACCTCCCCCTCCCCCCGACTTCCCAGAACCCGTACACGGTATGGATTTCTAACAAACACAGTCTAGAAGTCTATTGAGAAAAAAAAAAGAAATAATTTTTTTTTAATAACATTCTACATTGACCTTAGCTTCTTCTTGCTGAACCAACTTTAAACAATTTAAATAACCCTAACATTCTAGCGATCTTTCAAGATAAAACTACAGCTGTATACTGGTTTTGGTACCCAGAAGAATTAAACTTCAGCTCTGTAAAATCAATAGACAACATTTAGGAGGACCACTTACTTTTCTATGTCCAGCGATCCGTTTTCCTTGTTTTCCATGTCAATGGACAGCATGGAGATGTCAATGGGATCTTTTATGTCAGGAACTAAATCAATAAAGAAAAAAGGTCCATATATTTATATGGAATTGTAGTGAATGTTGTAGAATGTATTAAATCTTGCTTTTCCTGAACTATTTTTAAATAGAGAGAAAGAACAGACACAAGAGATTGTCACACTGCATAACTTTAAAAGCAACTTCAACGAAGTTTAAAGAAAAGGTCTTTTAATAATCAACAAAAAGTTTCCAACAGGTTGCATATTAATACATTTCAGTAAGGATTTTCTTAGCCAGAAAGATAATGGAGAGGTTTCTGCAAGTTATTATCTTTTATCCATTCTCCAGTTAGGAAATGCACAAGTGAAAAACTGGCGCTCAAGACTTGTCATGAAATCAGCACCTCCATTTCCACAAAATGTATTTGTATTTTTCTTTAAAATTCATCTTCCTTTTCAATATTTGGCCTCTATTTAACTTGGTGCTCTGGGCAACTGGATGGGCTCCCCCTGGCAACAGGTTTGACAACAATACTGAGGAGATGAATGAAATATGGGCATTGATAGCAGACTTTGTAATGACCCTAAGAATAAGAAGGCAGAGAAAGCATGCAGGGCGTGCCTTCTGGAATTCTTTCTAACTGCTTAATAGCAACACCGTGAGTTATATGACCAGAGGATTGGGGGTGAGCTGACGAACAAGGCAATCAATACTGACACAAGTTGCTGCCCCTCTGCCTCCTTTATAGGGATATACTGAATTGGTTTGTTGCTGTTTTCTTTGCAGGTCCTGGTCAGATCTAGTCCATTTTCAAACTTGACTGCTTTGACTCATTTTGCTCTGACTAGTTTCACTCCCACATCACATTTGGTCCCACTCTATTTTTGGAGAGATATCCTGATGACACATAGACATAGCTCTAATTCCCTGCACATAATTTCTTTCCAACATTCTATCGGTTAGAAAGAATAAATATGGGTATAGTTTAGCTGTATGGTAACAATATAGACCTCTTCCAACAATAGCCTATTCCATTCCATCAAAATTAAATATACAGACAATCCTCTTTGGAGGATTGAAGATAGTTATTCCAAGTTTCCAGGTGAGATTATCCCCAATAATTGTACTGATATCAGTCTGAAATCACATATCTGAAAGGTAACCTGATTGGAGAAGATTGTTGTAAGCCTTCCTGATTAGCCTTAATAATTTCTGTTATCTTTTTCAGTATCTTTTCTAGCTGTCTTATCCTTTCTTAGCTTTGGTGCCATCACTGATTGGGCCTGCCAAGCAAAAATAGATTGGGACTAAGGTCTTTTCTACAAGAACATTTCCAGATCCCATACATAGTATGCACTAAATTTAATTTTTTACGACAATACTTGCTGTATTGTCAATCAATGTAATCAAATAATACAATATATGTAATATGAAATTAATTTTTGTGTCCTCCAGTCTAAGAAGTGGAAAAGAATGGGGAGAATTTAGAAAAAAAGTACAGTGGTGCTTTTTAAAAAATATTTCAAACCTTTCTTCCCCACCCACATGCACAAAGATATGTGTTTCATATTTTTCCATTCAAAATGTTGCATACGGGTTCTGGGAAGTCGGGGGGAGGGGTAGGTTGGGGGTGGGTGGGGGGGAGGGATAAATATTAGGTTTGATGAGATGTGTTAGATTTTAATGTAATTTGACCCCACATGTATACTGTTTTTTTTCTTATATTTTCATTACTATTATTATTACTATTTTTTTTTAAACTAGGATATGTTAAGCATATTGACATGTAGCGGAAATACACCAAGGAGAGGAGGAGTGGGAAACAGAAGGGAAAAGAAAG